TAATTTTTATTGCGGAGATATTAAATGTTTATATTATTTATTAAACATATTATATTCTTTCATAATTTAATTTCATCGTAAGAATGGCGGTATAATATACAACTCGAAGGTAAATAAACAATATTCCTGAATTAGGGGAATTCTAATTATATATTTTATTGTATGTTACTGAAATCGTTGAGATTCCAAATTTAATGTCATTATGAATTAATTACTTCGGATACACAAAATTATATAAATGTATGAACATAAAACAAACGTAGTATACAAAATCTCAGATACCTCATTAGGAAGATACGTGTACTCCATGGAATACGCTTTGAAGTTAAAGAAGATTTGGTGCGATCACAAACTGCACTCAGACTGGTTAATTCACATTATGATAAATCTTTCTACGGGCGAAGACAAAAGGAGATTCGTTTATATTTAAATGAGGCAATGAAATCTGAATTTAAAACATTCTGGTGTGGCGTAACATGGCACCGAAAAGCTTAACATTTAGCCGCTACTCATTTTAGCATTTGTTTTAACTTGGATTTATGGTTGATAAATAAAAACGGATACTGAAACCTCAGATGCCACATGCATGTGATTTTAAGCGGAATATATTAATTTTAAAATCTGAAGACTTCCAGTGTTGTCGCTGTTGTAATAATTGCAGCACTAGCAACTATCTCTCGGTCTGGTCCACGAAGATAATATTCTGTCAGAGAGATAGGGCAGGAGTTTCTGTTTCGAATGAAGCAAAAAGCTGAAACAACGCGGACTCAGATGGAACGAAAACAGAGAGAAGCACAGATAAAGCCGACGGCAGAACGGACGGAGAGAAAATGTTGCAGACGTCCTGCGCTCTTCGATGGAGGAGGGACAAAATGCCCTTCGTCCCCAGGACCAAACTTAAGCGATGTCAAATCTTGGCAAAGTTAATTTTTATATTTTACATTAAAATACATGACGGCCACTTTCAACACATTTTGTTCACACAGGAAATCTTATTTTACTGTTTTTATGGGTCGATACTTGAACAAATTTGTAGCCTTCGACCGTGTGTCATGCAGTTACTGTCGGAAGCTGGGAAGTGGCAGTTGCGTTCCGGTTTGTCAGTGAACGCGCTATTGTCTTACGTCTCTGTGACGAGATTTCTTTTCTTCTGATGGATTTTTCTTAATAGCAACGATAATAATAACTCAGATACTCCTGATGTTTATGATTATACCTCGCATGTTAGCTTGATTCGGGACATTCAGAAGTAAGAAACGTTATAGTGAACCTTTCTATAATGCAATCACATATTTTGAAAGCAGTGTCACATAAATATCATATTACTTATGTTAATCCTTTTTTTAAAGAGATTGTGAATTATGATTAGAAGTCTACTAAAAATGGTTTTCTGGTGTTGGAAATATATAACAACTAAACACTAAAATCTAACTTAAAATGTAATTAATAAACTATATTTACAACTGTGATATTATCCTGAGTTAATTATGAAAATAAGACAAATTGACAACAAAACATTATGGCTTCTTATTTTAAGAGAACATGAAGTATGTGTGGGGGATAAAATTAGACTTTGTCTGACCTGTTTGAAGTAGCACCTCTTTGTGTCTTTTGAAAGTCTTCTCTGGGTTTCGGAGATTCTGTTCCACGTCTTTGTGATCAGCAGTCTGTCACAGTTCTTAGAATATCTGAACCACAGCGTTGTATGTTTTCAGATGAATCTCCAGCGGGAATTGTACCAGCTCTTTTATGGAATGTGATTTAATTTATAGTCAGTTTGTTCTGTGAATCATTTCTCCTTCAAGGACAGAGACTGTTAAGGACGAATTAAGTTTGTGAAACTGAATTTGATTTTGGAGAACATGGTATGCATTCGAATGGGACCATCAGGCCATCCTGCGCTATTTAGGCGCAGGTGACTTTTTAAGCTGTTTCCGTCCTATTTACCCCAAATGAACACAGCAGGCAAAGGCAATGTGCTGGCGCACTAACCAACCCAAATTGCATACATATTCATGACATGAGCTGTCGTATCTCAGCGAGCGGACAGTATGCATACCGTAAGCGACGACTATACCAACACGTAGCCCTGTAGCGTGTTAAACCTTAGAAAATAAGTCAGCTTAACCCTTTAATGTCGAAGCTCGCCTAAATAGCATTTAATAATTCAGTCCGTACCGCAAAGAAAACACAACACTTCACCATTACAGAGATTAAATGATTAACCTTGTTCAAGTAAACGATTCCTGTTTTCAGCGAGAAATTTATGAAACTCACAAATGCAAAATGAGGATTCAAACCGTAAGACTTGAGGTTCTCACAGCGGTGAGTATGAAGATTTCCGTCTTCTGGGTTGTTGCGCTGTGTAGTCTGGTCGATGTTTACCAACGTTTCAGAGGTCATACTGCCTCCATCATCAGGGCGATGAGTATGAAGATTTCCGTCTTCT